GGTGTCCTAGTCCAAATGCACTTGAAGTACTTAAAATTTAGCAGAAAATGCAGGTTGCAGTTGGTTGAAGACCCAGAGCAGCACACAGAGCATCTGCTGTGGGAAGGATGCTCTGTGGCTTCCCAGTGCTCAGCCTCCACCAGGAAAACCTTCTCAATTACATGGGAAGATTTACATGAGATGATTAAACCTGAAAGGGCTTCCTGGATTGCTTTATAATGGCAGAAAGGTGTTTTATGAAACATGTGAAGCTGGCTGGAAATTAAAGTGGGGTGAGTGGGTATTTTATTCATGTGTCATGAAGTCTTTTCTATGGGTAATGCTTCTTGTAAATGTCTGTATTGAGTGCTTTGCAGAAAACCTGGAAATTAGCCTGCTGTAAAAAAATTAAGAAAGCTAGTTGACACTTAATGTTGAAATACATAATGAGTGCTGTGAAACACCTTCATTCAACATGTAATTGGGAAAATCCTTGGAATAAAAGCTTTCTGTAAGAGTGTAAGCAACCACCTTAAAAACTTTGGTGTTTCCTCTGTGAAACCTAGATTTCTTTTTTCTGCTAAAAAATCCTATCTGTTTTTCCCTGATTAACTTAGATAATATTTGGCAGCTGCAGAAGATGAAGATTTGTTGTTTGTATGGTACTGTTTATTTATAAACTTGCCTGTTACTCCTAGTGTTTGTTTAATTAAGTTCTCAACTGTTTTGTAAGTTTTCTTTGAAATTTCAAATTACAGGTCCAGGAGTAACTTTAGCAAGACGTGTTTCAGGTGAGTCAGTTGTGGGCAGCTTGTATTACCTAAAAATGTGTCCCAACAAATTGTTATTGAGTTTTTTGGCCTTTACTTGACAGTAAGTTTTGAGTTATACATTAAGTTTGTAGAACTTGGCCAGCTACGTGATTTTTCTGTATTGCTTTGTAACCCCTGGCAGTTACAGTGCTTGGTGAGGTTGTGGAGGGTTAATGTTCTAGGAGTGAAGTGGAGAGTGTATAATGACACCTTGCTGCTTGAAGTGTTCTCACACTACTTGAACTTGATGATGTGTTTTAAGTTTATATATATATATAATGCAAAAACTACAGTTGCTGCTATTTCCAGTATTTTACTTGCCTTCCTTCTTCCCAGCAAATGGCAGATGAGTTTAATTGTTCTAAAATGAGATTTCAGTGTACTAAATTTTGTGCTGTAACGTAGCAAAGACTGCATCTAATCCTTAAAGGAAAGAATCCTTTAATGTTAGAATTTCATATGTGAATCATGATACTGCTTGTCATAATAAAACTCATCAAATCGTACATGAACACTGGAGGTGGCTGCATTTCCATTTTTCCTCCTCTAGGCAGTTGTTGATGCTGTTAGCTGGTGTTGTATTGGTGCCTCTGCTCCAACAGCTGCTTCACTGCAGCTGAACTTGTGCTGTTAAATATTTTTTAACAGTTTTGAAAACACAAAATGTTTCTGCTGTAACATCTGGTGGGGAATGCATGCTTTTAGTGCTGCTAGGATGTGATAGTTTAAGACATTTTATTTCTCATTCTTTCCTGCTGTGAGTTACCTATGAACAGTGTGGGGTGTCTGGCTTTGGGTGCAAAAGTGGGACTGGTATTTTGGAAACTTTGCTATTCTTTTAAAGAACTGGAAGCCTTATATGGGTGAAGAAGCAGTTTTTATTTAACACACTCCTGGAAAGTACAAAACCTGAGTGTGACTTAACTATTACATTTCAGGAAAGGTGGATGGTTCCTCTGTGCTGTTGTTTACTAGTGCTCATGTGTCTTTGTGAATCCTGTTCTGCTGCTGGTAGCATGACTTGCCTTTTCTGTGGTAAAGATACAGACCTGAAATGTTTTCATTTTTCTGCTGTCTTGACTTAAAGATAGGCTACTGAAATTAAATGCCTGACTGGCTGTGGAGACTAGTACCTATCCTGTGCATCCTTGCTTCTCCCAAATTCCTCTGTTCCTTGACTGAGTAGCTCACAGGTTCCTTAGTGGCTTCCATCTCTTTTCATCTCTGTATTTTTACTCTGAAGGTGGCTGCCCACCCACTGCCCTGTCCCCTCTGGATGGTAGCCTGCCTGGGTGTATTCAGTGGGGCCTTCATGTTCCATTTCCAAAAGAAAGCATCAGTCCTTCATGGAAATCCATTTCTATCTTAAACATCAGTCCTCAAGGAGACCACCAGGTATGTCCAAAGCTGCCCTGAGCGCAGGAGAAAGGAGCAGATTTTCTCGGATGGTTGTATCTTGTTTTCTTTGTGCTGAGCCACAATAGGCAGCACATAGAAGCAGGGCAATTCAGATGAAATTCTTCCAGAAGCTGCATGATAATTTAGATAGGTCAGGAGTACTTTGGGATACAGGCTCTTGGTTAAGATGGCTCAGAGTTGTTATTTGCAGTGGTTGCAGAATATGGAGATTTTAATTTTGTAGTATTTCTTTTAATGTCACCTTCCCCACACCCCCTCTGCAATAGAATTGCAAAGCAGTTTGTGTTCCTTGGTCTGAAATAAGACGTGCATCTCAGATAGCAGGGTTTCCATTGGGAACAATTGCTCAGTTGGTTTGAGTGGTGGGTTAATAGAAATGTTTTGCACTCTTCCATGTATCCACATTCTTCAGAGAGGAGTGTCTGTAATACAGGAAGTAATGGCATTACAGCATGTAACTGGCATTTTTTTAATGCCCATAATATTGGGATGGAGTCATCCTTTTATCTGAACCAGTCATATGTAATTGTACCTAAAAGTAATAGCGTGTATGAAAGAACAGAACTATTCTTTACTGCTTTTCCTATGTGCGTGTTGGCTTGTAGTGCTTTCCTAGTGGATGCTGCCTGTGAAACCAAGAGGGATGTAGAGATTTCTTCACAGGGTGTGTGTGTGTGACTTCATTAAAATCAAGCAGTAAAAACAAATTACAAATTTGAAGTATTGAATTTTGAATTGAATTTTGCAGTTACTACTGGTGGATGAAGTGGAAACTGGGCTGAGGACAGGCTTCCACATGTTAAAACATCTGCCCCAGCAGATGCAAACTCTGTACTTGAAACTCCAATAGTAGAACTTTCTAAGAAACCTTCCACTTTGTGCAAACATTGTCCAAAGGTGGTGAAAGAAGCTGCAATGATTCACCGAAGAGCTGGTGTTTTCCTATGAACGTGAAATTTGAATAATTTAAATTTCAGCTTGAGTTGTTGCTTTGTTGTTTGATTTTTTTTTCCTAACTTAAAAGATAGATTTTGCATTTTCTCTTTTGCTGCAACAGGCAGCTGAAGCTTAACTTTTTATTCCCCAGATCAGAAACTCTTTCTCTCTTTGGGCTAAATTAATTACTTCCCTTTTTGTTCAAGGGAGGAGGGGGGACCCATTATGACCTAAGCTGGTAGATTTGTTTATTAATTTAATTTTTACATTTCCCTTGTGCTTTTCCACTGTTAGCTGCTTGGACTGAGCAAATCCCTTGTCTGCTGCAAGGGCTGCTGCTGGCATTGCCTGGCAGGTCCCTGTGAGTTCTTAGCCATTTTGTGACCTGAATGTTTGCTCTGGGTACGTGGTTGCTAAGAGGATGTTCCTGCTTTATTTTTCTAGAAGAGCAGGTCTGTGCTTTGAAGAGAAACCAGTATTAGAATTGGATTTTATTGCAACAGCATATTAGAAGCCTGTTATCAATATACCAATTACTAGGTGCATGGGTACAGATTTTATTGGGGGTACGTGATGACTGGTTTTGTTGTGCCTGGTCATGTTGACTCAACACTTAAATGAGACCTCTGCATCGATTTACTTCAGGTTTCTGTTTCAGGAAGGTAATAACTGCACTTAGAGCTCTTTTCTTAGGCTGTAAACTGTGGATGAGAGAATACATACCTGTATTTTAAATTTTCTTTTAGAGATTTCTCCCAGCAGAACAGTTACGTTCTTGGTTGTTTCAAAATCAAGGATGATTGCATTTTACTTTAAAATAATTTTATGTATGTATTTATTTATTAAAAAGGTGATTGTTCTCTAGACATAGCTTACCTGGGCTTATTGTAGCTTGCTGAAAAGAAGATGTACTGATTTGTTCAAAAACGTTGGTTGGGAAGTTGGCAGCCACCATCCAGAAGAAAGATGGACCATGATGTCTGGTGGGAAAGTGAGCCTGTGGTGATTGCCATCTGCAAACAAGCTTAGAATTGTTCACTTGTGTAGACAGATATTTTTTTAATCTGCAAAACATTTTGAGAGACACAAAATGAAGCTGAATTACTAGGTTCTAGCATTTGATGGATGGAATTGATATTAAAAAGCTTTAAAAAAATGTACTTTTTATTATGCTAATTAGGTCTGACAGTGTAATGATGGCAAGTAGGCAGTACTCCTGCAGAAGGAGGAACTTGCATGTTTGCAGATACTGACAGTTTCTTGTAAAGGATGTGTTCACATGGAGAAATTCTACAAAAGAGCTTAAGCTAGAAAGTGAAAACAGATTCATGGATATAGAAATTTGTTTTACACATAGTTCTATGGAATGGCTCTGAATCAGACTGGACATTTGCACAAGTCTGGTGGGTTCTGGTGCACGTGGTGATTGGAACAGAAATAGGAGTCTGAATTTATTGTGTAACCTAGCACTTAACTACCATAACATATTTTTGTTGAACTTTGGTTCTGAGAAAAGTGAGCAGGGAGTCCTCAGTGCCCCACAAGAAGTAAATGGGTAACACCATGGATAGCTGCTCATGTGGTATCTTTATCAGGAAGTTTTTACTATGGATGTCTCAGAGAATTATTTCCCAGGCATGGCAAGCCAGCCCTCCTTTCATCTAAAACCACAAACATATAGTGTAAAACATGGAAGTGACCTGAAATGAAGCAGTTTTCAAGAGACTGAGTTGTCCAGAGCTTTATTCCATTATCTTTCAGTGATACATTACACAATGGATAATTAATAGATGTATAGACTTGCAAGAATAAGTAACACTTCAAACAAAGCACAACTTCCTTCTTCTTCCCTAGAGCTCCGCTGCACCCCAGGGCAGTTTGCGTGTCGAAGTGGTACCATCCAGTGCATCCCTTCAAACTGGCAGTGTGATGGGTGGCCCACCTGTGAGGATGAGAGTGATGAAGTTGACTGTCCAGGTAAGTAAAGCTGAGAAGACTGTTCATCCCCATGACAGCTTTTTTTACAGCAGTACTTTGACTCCATAAGATCACTTTCTTATTTTTTTTGGAAAGTGGAGATTGGTAGAACTGTGTCTGTTATTACCAAATTTTGACTTGACTTCTGTTAATTTTGTGCAATAAATTCTACAAACAGTTTTTTGCTACTCTGAATTACACTTTCTTACTGTCTGAGTAGGTATCCTGGAGATGAGAAGAGTTTGTAGTTTAAAAAGAAACTTTCATTACAAGGGGTGTTGCAGTTAAACCAAAATGACACACAGGTGTGTGGTTAAATTTGGGATTTCTCTTTTGTTTTTATGAGTGTATCACTCAGACTGTGTTGGTTGACATTGTTGGACTTAGAGAGCTTGTTTTATTGCACCCTGTTACAATTATGCTTCTTGTGCTTAAGTGGAGAACTTTGTTCTGCCAAACAAGCTGGTGTATTTACTCTCCACATAATCTTGTGATCATATATGCTTTCAGGGAGCCCATCACCACTACTCGTTCTCTGCTAAAGCCACTTTATGCTGAGCTGTCTTTAAGAAACAAGCAAACAAAAACTTCTGATTGTGAATATGTAATCACAGTTTTGAATGTTTTAATCTGTTCTTGAAAAACAGGCCTGTGCAACTCCTGTTCTGTGTCTTAAAAGTGAAGGGACCTGTAACTTTTTTTTTTGCTAAGAACAATGAAGCATGAGTCAGAAAGCATGAATTCAGATATATAATAATTTAAAATTTTTACCTCTACTGTGTGACATTCATTGTCACTGTTTTAAGAGGTTCTTTGCCACTAAACTACTTAATTTGGGGGAAAATTGTAGGTAGTTTCTTCTGACATTCAGAATTAATATCCTATGTAAGGATATTCTTTATGGTGTGGATGCTTTTATAGTTGTGCTGTTATTCTTCCTCCTTTTTAGCTAACGTTAGCCAAGTGTGAAAAACTATGGACCTTATAAAATTCTGGAAGTTAATGGAAGTCAATAGCTAGGAGAATGTTTGGATTTACTCAAAAAGCACTGAAGGCTTCACTGTGGGAATACTGGAGCATCCGCATTAGTAGGAAATAGCATTTGTGTCTTTGTTGGCTCAAGGTCTGGAAGTACAAAGAATATTTGGTATATGGCTAGGATCTTACGAAAGTACCATTTCTCAGTATTTAACTTCTGCTTTTGTATTTGGGGTGTACATCTCACTGGACTGTCTGGCCTGACATGGTGAAAAGAACTTTTAAGTTAAGAAATAAAAGGAGACACGTGGAAGAGACTTGATTCATTGCCATGTTTGTACACAGGGAGAGGAGAATAACATACATTAATACTAGAGGGGGAGAAGATGGACAGCATAGAGAAGAAGAGTATTCCACTTGATGAGAAGAGTTATTGGATCAGTAATTGGTGGAAAGGCTGTGCTCAGTAAAGCAGCCAGAAAGCTGGGTGTGTCATTTATGAAAGAACTGAGATATTTGTGCAGTAATGCAAGGAGTGTAGCCAGCAAACCAGAGGAACAAGAAGTACTGGTGTAGGATGTAAAAACTCTATTATACTTGTAACAAAAAATTGGTGGGATATTGTTGTGGCCTGAAATGGGTGTTGAAGGGCAGGTGTTATTCAGAATCATCAAGAATAAGGAAGGATTGGTGTGTATCTGAATGGTATGCTGGAGGAAGGAATTAAAAGGAATAACATGAATGAGAGTGAGTCTGAGGGCAGAGTGAGCTTGGAAGAGCATGGTTCTCTTGTGTGGGGAAAGCAAGATACGTGTGACCATTCATAGCAGAGACTATGACCTGAGATGTTGATTGGGGAGTTAATGCTAATAAAAGTAGCACATAGTTGTACTCGGAAGTTACAAGTTTCTTCTTTGGCCACTGAATTAACAAGGTATGATGCAGCTTTACATTTAGAAAGTACCTTGGATTTAGATGAGCAATCATTAGATGATTCAGCTAAATTTAAGTATGTTTTAATTAAGATTCTTAATATCAGTAAAGGCAGGCTGAACACTAAAAGAACTAGTTAGTGAAGCCACCTGGAGGTGTGAAATCTCTCTGAAGCATGAAAAGAAAGCTTGCAAGAAAGGGCTCTGAATCCAGTTGGGAAGCTTGTTACTTTTCAGCCTTTGAGCTACTAATAGCATACTCCAATGTGAGCAACTTGGGAAAGATCAATGGCAGTGAATTAGGGTTTTGTGGTGGTGATGGAGGTGTGTTTGCATGACTACTTAGTCATGTTGCTATTTTCAGAGATTTAATATAAAGCCATTGTAAATTATTTGGCACTGTTGGCATAGTTCACCTATTTTAGGCCTGATTTCACTCACGTTAGTAACAAAGTTCCTGTTAAAATTAAAGGATCATTAATACGTCAGTTTGGTAATTTTGTTGTCTGAAGTGCAAGGAACACTCTGAACTCTTTAAGACTTTTTTTTTTTTTGTTTGTTAGAATAATTTCTTCTGGCATTTCTCAGTACTGTTGGCTAGACCTGCTTGGTCAGAAACATGAACACTGGAAAGTTTCGGGGGACTGAATTCTTAGGGCATTTTTCCCCCCTGAGCCTGAGGCCGTATTCAGCCCTCAACAGCTTGGCCATGCTGGTGGTGGTCCTGGGGCAGCAGTGGCTGGCAGTACCATGAGCTGTCCTGCAGTTCCATAGTGAACAGTATGATTTAATGTGTCTTTATGTTGAGGCTTAGAGCCTAATTTAATACGGAGATAGTCTTGCTAGGAGGCTAATTATAAATGCTCATCTTGAGCAATGTCATCTTGTATGTTGTTCTTAAGGACTTCCGCAGATAATGTATCAGGAAGAAATGTGCAGACTTGGAAGTCACTTGCCTCAGCACATACACATTAGCCAAAGTCTCCTTTGTGGAGCCAGCTGGAGGTATGGCCAGTGAGCAATAAAGCAGCAGCTGCAGCACTCTGCTTTGCAGTCATTATAAACAGCTTTGTGTTTTGTGCCACCAAGGATATTGTGTTTGGTTGATTTGTGCACTTTTTAGTACACCTCCTTTTTTTTAAAGCTAGATGATAATGATAAAACCTCTGATCATTTCCTCACCTTTTTTGAGCCCTTGCTGAACTCCTGTATGATGCATCCTTTTCACTCTGTGGTGTTTATAAGCTGTTGTCTCTTTGAACAGTGCTCAGCACAGCAGGATGCTGTTCTTGGTTGGCATCTGTTTCCTGGCTTCATATAATTGATAACACAAAGTGTGGAGCTGCTTGATCTGAAAATAATTAGTTCTCTCTGAGGACTTCTGAACTGTATTTCCAAATCTTTAGGCACAAAACTGGATTTAGTCCTGAAGTTCTTTCACCTCTCAAATTACCAGTTGGAATTCAAAGCTTTCCAGCATAGCTGGACAGAAAATTTTAAGTTTAGGCATCAAGGCAGCTTTTAATCTACATTTTGAGAGTCTGTGTGCTTAAATGGGAGCAACTCAAATCTTGGAACAAGTAAGATGTGACAAGACATGGTTGTCTCACAAACAGTTTAATTTTGACATAATTTGACATAGTAATCCATCCTTGTGAAGGGTTTGGCTTTGAGTGACTTGCTTCCTGTGATGCCTTACCTCCGGAAACTAGTTCAACTTCCCAGATCCCCAGAGTCCTGAATGCTTTTCATGGCATTCAAGTGACTTAGAGGCTTGTTAGCATCTCTTCCTTTATTGCCCTTGAAAAATTTGTCATCATTGCCTTTTTCAGAGACCAAAAATTCAGGTCAAATAGAAGCAATTTAATATTTGAAAAGCACCAGTTTATTAAGCAGCTGACAGTGTTGGGCTTGAAGGAGAAGTGACTTCTGGTGGCTGCTTTCTGCCTCTTCAGTCCTGCCTCCTTTCAGCAGTGAGTCTGCTGACACGAGCAGATGCTGGGGAAGGAACAAGTGTCCTGCTTCCTGGGTGAGGACTGATTGAACTTGCTTTCTGTGGAATCTGTGTGGCTGTTTTTCAAAGCATCTGGCATAAATTCCATCAATTTCAGAGGTTAGCTTAAATAACCCTTTCTTAACCTTAGATGTTAAAACCTGTGAACTTCTGGTTTATTCCCAAGGGAGGTAAATTGTTAAGTCCTTGTGGGTGTTCTCTTTAGCCACGGAGGGTCAGCCATATGGTGTTGCATCTGCTCTCACTTCTGAAAGAGAACTAACTCTTCCTGCATGTGGTTCTCACTGGTTCTTTGGGTTTAAGTTGTTACCATTCAATGCCATGGGAAAATATAGGTTCCTGTGCTGAGCTCAGTTCGTCTCTGATAAAGCATTTGGTATCAATCAGTTAGTGTTATGTTTAAAGTCTTACTATAATTAAATATTTGCTTTTTTGGTGTCTCAGTATCCCTCTGAAAATCAGTGTAAATACTGCTGCTGAGCCATTAGGATTAAGAACAGAAAAATTCTAAAACTAAAAATAGATTGTCCTTTAAAGTAATAAAAAATAATCACTGATCTTCACTGTCAAATAATTTTACCACTTTGTGTCCTTTGAAATATACACTAACTGAATTTCTTGGCAGTAACTTCTTGCCTGTGATAAAGTGTATTCTAATATTGAGCAGTAGAATTACTGCTTTATTCCTGCAAGGCCACATGAGTGTATTATGCACAGCCATTTCTTAATGGGTGATCTCTATAGACATGTAATTCCTAGGATAACATGGTAATTAAATATCCCTTGCTTATCCCATTAACCCAGGGCAAACTCAGTCTGCTAGAGGCAAATGAATGCAAAGCTATTCTGCTGTTCCTGGGCTCCAGCTAGTGATATTTTTCTTTTGGCTCATCACTGCCAACATTTTGTTCCAAGGAGTGCATTGTTTGATGGTGGGTGTTCTGAACGTCTTTTCTCCCAGGTAATACACCAGTCTCCAACTCTGAGTTTAAATTATCATCAGATTGTTGTGGACTTCTTGCTTTTTAAAGGTAGTCAGAAACGAGAAAGTGTTATTGACATAATCTTGAATGTATTTCAAACAGATGTAGTTAAATCTGTTGAAGACAACTATGTAGGTCCTCTTTATTTGGGACCATAACTGGTTAATTTGTCTTAGTGGGGCTAAATAGAGCTGATCAGCTTTAAAGGAAAATAAGCTGATTTTTTAATACAGAAATGAATGTCTGCGTAGCTCTTAATGCTGGTTAAACTCTATTACCTTTAATAACAGCCAGTAGTATTAAATAACATACTAGTAGATATTGCTAATGCTTCCATTCTTGGTTTTTGGTTGTTTGGGTTTTTTTCCCCTCTTTTTAAGGGTAATTCCTTGTTTCCAGATAATTCTTTCTTGCTGGTCAAAGTTTCTCCGCACCACCATGCCAGGCTTTCCTGCTTATGATTTTCTGGCTACAGCCCATCGTGCAGCATCTGCACCTGAGCTGTGTGCTCTTTATTTACTCTTGGTAGGCATGTGGAGCCTCCCAGTCCCTTCTCTGGAATAACATCTTGCCCTATGCTCTTCCTAAGCTATTGAATCCCATTGTCATGTACACCTGTTAGAAGTCCTGGCACTGAGATGAGGATGTCTGTGTATTTTGTTTCAGAAATAATGAACTAACATTTCCTGTAGAAGCTTGAAAGAAAAACCTTGTTCTTCAGGATGAAGATAGGCTTCCTTCCCTGGTTTTAATTTTGTCCTAGATCTCACAGAACTGGAAAGTGTATTGAAGAGGATATCTTTTATCCTTGAACATGCACTGAGAAATGAAGCAGCTGGAGAGTGGGTAATTCTGTCAGCAGGAGCAGATCAAATGCACTGGGGATGATGCATTTGCTGCAGCAACTGAAACAATGATTGTCGAGTCCTGTATACAAGTGCAGGTTGTTGAGAATTGGCCAAAATACTTAACTAACTCTGCAGAACTCATGCTATGGCCAGTTGGTTCTTTTCAATTGTAGGTATTTCAGTTACATGCTAAAATGGCCGAGCTGTTAGTGCAGGGATTTACCATCTTTGTGTACCTGACTGTGTGTTATTTATGCATCTTGAATTGAAACCCAGAGAAAGTCTAATAAAATGAAATCTGCCTTTGCTGGCATCTTTCCCCAGTACTGATTATTCCTTCTGGTTGGACAGGCTTGACAGGGGACCAGCGAACTTACCATGGGAAGGAGAATGTGGACTCCAGGCACAGTCGAGGAAGAGGAGGAGAGACAACCCGCTTCCACACTGTCAACGTGGCACAGCCTGTCCGATTTAGCAGTAAGTTGCAGACTGGAGAATCTGGGCCATCTCTGCTAATTAATTTAGCAATTTAGATTAATTTTTTTTTAAAGGATCAGTTAATACTTTTTTGTGTTACGTGGCTTTTTGACCAGGTTTTTTCAGCTGCAGTGCTTTTTAAGGCTTTTGCACAGTTACGTCTGTCCTGTAACATTGCATAGTTTATATAGCAGGCTAATACGTGCAAAACCATCCTAATTCCCTAGTAATCCTATTTATGTGAAACCAGAGTTGTAGTTTTCTGCTGTAACTCATTGCAATTACAGAAAACTACGGCCATGGTTTAGGTGATGGTTTCAACCTGCAGCAGGGGTGATAGTCTGCCTCATGTCTTGATGTGAGCTTGCATGGAGGATTGTTCTGGAAAGTGGGGGAAAACCAGAATTGATTGATTTTGTCGGAAGTAATTTTGAAAATGATCTTGCACTATTATTAGTTAATTAAGTGCATCTCTGATATTCTGAGTTTTGTATCCTTTTAAATAGGAAAAATATTGTTTAGGGAGTTTGAACTTAGGAAATTCTTCACTTGCTTCTCTACAGAAAAAAGTCTGTCAAGGCTGTAGCACCTGAGCTGGTTTTACCGTGTTGCTTCCATCAGTCAGGAATCTTCAAAAACACCACCTGCATCACTGCTTGTGCCACTGTTGGCATCCTAGTCCCAGTCTTATCTAAAGAGATAGAAATGTCCTGCAAGTGTCCTTCCCACTGATGGTAGCTCATAGTGACTACTGAATCTCTCCAGGCACAGAACATCTAAATCTCCTGTCTTCTTGCTCTTATCTTGATTCCCTCTGCTCCAGGGATCGGTTGGCAATGTGAGAGCACTGATAAGCCTTGGGGGAAGGGATGGGGCAGGCTAGGAAGAGGACATGGGGGAAGATAGTGTGGCAGTAGTGAAGTTAGGAACAATTGTTTTGGACTACAGTGATCTGAAAAGACCTCAAGTGATTATCAAAAGTGAATAATTTAACTCTTATAGAGGTACTTTATAGAGGGCAAAAATGCTTATTATAATAGGTATTTTGATTTGTTATACATTTCAGTGGCTAAACTGTTATGTTAGTGCAATTTGTAGAGGACAATAAAGCCATTTAGAAACTGATACAGCAATATCTAAAATGCTCTGCAGTCTGATACTATATTCTGTCCCATCTTAGTGATGTGAGCAGTAAATCTTAAAAATACCCCATTGGTTCTCAAGTATAAAGGGAAAATGAGGAAAGATACTGAAAAGGCTTAAAATCTAAGTTTTAGATTATTATTTAGTGATAAAGATCACTGTTTCTGAAGGGAATCAACAGTGTTGAGGAATAGAGAGGCTTGAGAAGAGGAACTCTGAGAATGCAAGCAATAAGCATACAACTGTGAATTTAAATTTCCTTTCTTAGTTGTTGTGCAGAATTAATGCTGCAAATGCAGGTGTTAAAATCATATTTCATGTCTGTTTTAAATTTCATCAGCTTGTCTCTGTGATTCTTCCTATTAGTCACCCCCAAGAATGCAAGTCATCAAAAGCCCATGGGCCTATTTCATCCAGAAATGCCTCAAGGCTTTTGTTGCATATTCCCTCAATTTAGTTACAGTGGTTCATACCATGACCTTCTTGTTTCCTGAAGGTCCACTGTGCAGTGACGTTTTTCCAAAGCAAACAACAATTGCCCCAGAACCCTCATCATCTTTAGTGATTGATTATTTGAGTGGGATTGTCTGAACACTACTGAGACTGTTTGTAAAAGTAGGTAGAAAACTTTGCAGCAAGTTGGATGCATTGCTAACTCCCTGACAGAAAGAATAATTAAATTGGCCTCCTGTTTTTAGTTCCTGCTTCTTGATGCTTGTTTTGAGTTGGATTGAGCAAACATTTGATTTATAAAGATGTGCAGGGAAGCACATTCCACAGTAGATCATCAGTCTTAAAGACTTTAAAAGCTGTCCCAATGCAATATGCAATTGCTAGGAGTTGCATCTTTTTTAAGACTTTAAAATTAATTTTTGTTTGTCGAAAGCTGTAGTAAAATCAATCTTCTGTGATCTGTATTGCACACATGTCCTGGTAAGGTGAAGTATGCAGAGTATGTTGTGTGTACACATCCAAGTGATTATGCATTGCATTGTCATAAACTGATCAGGATGCCTTATCTTGAAGGTCCTAATTTGGGGGGAATGGTTTCCCTTCCATTCTTCATGTTTCCTAGGAAAGTGCCCAACAGGGTGGCACCACTACGAGGGCACAGCCAGCTGTTACAGGGTGTATTTAAATGGGGAGAACTACTGGGACGCTGTGCAGACATGTCAGCGGGTGAATGGATCCCTTGCCACCTTCACTGCAGACCAGGAGCTGAGGTTCATCCTGGCACAGGAGTGGGACTTGGAAGAAAAAACATTTGTAAGGAAGGACCAGCGTAGGTGAGTAGGAGAAAGAGGACAAAGGTCTCCTGTTACACAAGAATGGTTTGTCTGTGATGCAAATGCTGGTAGTTCAGTTTGCTAAGAAATACAATGGTAAAATTGACTTAAGGTTACTAACCAGTATGAGCATGCTGGTTGACTGTTTGGCAGTAGCCATCAGTATTTTATCTTTTGATTACCAGATATGCTACATTTCAGCAGTCTTTATATCTTTGGACTGTCTCAGCAACATACTCATGTAGGGAAGATGGATTTCACAATGACTGCTGCCCTACCTTGTGTAGAAGTAATTCTCTTAAGTTTTTCAACAAAATTTTTGTTACTGTTGAGTACCAGTAGCTCTAACAAAGACTGCAAGGTTGAGATAAGAACTATGTAAAGAGCTATTTTGAGTCGGAAGAACTACGTTCTCATGGCTTTAGCTATTTCATTTTGTTAGTTCACAACAGACATAATTCCTTTTTTTTTGCCTGTGGGTTTTTGTCAGTCTCATGGGCTGCCATGACAGATCACCAGCAGAGGTTCAGTAATGGTGTATGTGTCTCCGGAGAGTTAGGTGGTTTGATCTGGAACAGTCTGACATAAGCTGGGTATGTTTATAAAATGTTTGACTTCTGGATGCTTTTGTGTGGTTTTTGGGTTTGAGATGCTGATGTGCTGCCATAACAACAGAATAAGGTGCTTATTATGAGTAGAAATAAAAGACACAGTGAGTTATCACTTGTAAACACAGAAAACTACTGAGTGTTTTCCTCTGTTCCTCTGCATTGCCAGTATGAGGGCTGAAATATTAAGGAAAAATTGATCAGAATGTTAATTTTAATTATAAAGACCGTAGGAAGTTCTGTGCAATTTATTCTAATTTGTTAGTATGTTTTTTCTTGTATCTTAGAGTCTGACTTGATTTTTTGTAGGTTCTGGGTTGGGTACCAATATGTGATCACCAATCGAAATCACTCTCTAGAAGGTCACTGGGAAGTAGCTTACAAAGGTAGGCATCTCAAACTAGTACTTAATCAAATGGCCCCTGAAAACTGTCTCAAAGCATGAGTATTATTTGCAAGAACAACATATTTTAGTGTTTCTGTTAAAATAGTGTAGGGA